GTATCGAAGTGTAAACATTAAATATATGCAGTTTATTGCATGTCAATAAAGCTGTTAAAAAATCGTTTCTTCTTTCCCAGACTACCTATTGTATCTGAATGCCCTTGGTCCTATTCCTTCTTATCTCCTGTAAAACACTTTATCACTTTCTTTCCTGCACCATTATTCCCTACCTCTTGCTTCCTGTCCTTTGCACCCCATACAGGAAACTTATTGGCATAAATTAGTGAATCTAAATCAACTATCCTAACACCTCCTTTCTCTAACCTCTTTACTTCTCAGATGCAATCTCTTCTTTCTCCTAGTTACTCCAAGTATTTATAATAGGCAACACCCACCCACTCCAACATACGCCATTTATTCCTCAACTCTTGTCCCTCCTGGAACTCTCTCCACTACTCCAGCAAAACTGCTTTCTTCTAGGTCTTCAAAGATGTCCAGACTGTCACTTCAATTATGTCTTCTTAGTTTATACCCTCAGGCTCTATAGCCCAACATTCAAATGGTTGAACACCCAATCTGAACATCCCACTGACGTCTTACTCAGTAGTTTCTCTTCCTTCAAACCCCACCCCAGGAGCTCTCCAATGTGCTGTTCTTACACTTCTTTTTACTCCCTACCTACTCTTGACAAACACCAATTCAATCTTCTTTATGCAAATGGCTAACCATACTTAGTTACTTTAATTACTTGTTCTGAAGGTAACTTATCATGGACTCCCATGAAATGGTCTTCATTCCTTGTATTTGGATAGGAAGCTCCTTGGTGACCTGAGGGCTGGGACACTCAGTACCAGCCTTAGCCACCGAACGAAGATAATGTCACACAAGCCAGAAATGGAGAGGGATTACCATGAGAGGGCTTATATGGGATGAATCCAAGAGCCTTTCACAGGGCTGCTGGTCATGGTGACTGGAGCCTAAACTTGCAGGAGAGAGCCAGAGAGTAGAGGTGAGCACAAGGGAGCCAACCCCAGATGGTTCCCGGTAGAAGCTAATAGATGTGTGCCAAAAACCAAGCCGTGTCCAGCCTCTTCCTGGACTTTTTGTTCTATGAGCCAACACACTTCTTACTGAGTTTTCTCTTTCCGGTAACCAGAAGGCTCTGAAAGGTATAACCCTCTGACTATAATCCTGAAAATGTTTTCTCCTACTGTCATCACGATAGATAAAAGCTGTGAAAATCTATATGCTAGAATTTGGCACATTATCATAATTAACAGAACACACATCCTCTATTTTCCTAAGGCTCTCCAAGGGAAGAGAGCTTGCCTGCACATCGGATTATCTCCCTGCAGTGCCTGGGGCACTGTGGACACCCAACACGCTATTTAAATTCAATTGTGTTGATCTCTAAAGTGTTCTTTTTGCAGGGCAAAGATGTGGAGCAGCTCAACTCCCCAAATGGATTAAATTTCCTTTAAGCTAGGCATCATTAGCCCTTTATTTTTATGTCTTATTTCATAACTCTTCTGGCTTAAACTCTTTTCAATGGTTTCCCATTGCTTATAACGTGGAATTTCAACCTCTTATCAGACCCACCAGGCCTGTAGGATGTCAAATCCTTGCTAATTTCTCCCAGTTCGTCTTTTGCCACATCACCTTTAAAACCCCTTCACCATGCCCTAAACATACTGGCTTCTTCTTAGGACTTTGAATAAGCCCAGATCTTTGCAACTTTAGGAACTCTGACTGTGGTATTCCCTCTGCCTGGGATGCTTTGTCCTCCTACCTTAAACATTATCTCCTTAAGGAAATGCTGCCAGACTGCACATTTGCAGGTAGCACCTCTGTTCTTTTTAAATTTTCTAACGGTACCCATATTTTCCTTAAGAGCATCTGTATATTCACTGTTTCCAATAGCAAAGACCTGGAACCAACCCAAATGCCCATCGATGGTAGACTGGACACGGAAAATGTGGCACATATACACCATGGAATACTATGCAGCCATAAACAACAATGAGTTTGTGTCCTTTGTCGGGACATGGATGAACCTGGAAACCATCATTCCCAGCAAACTGACACAAGAACAGAAAAACACCGCATGTTCTCACTCATAGGTGGGTGTTGAACAATGGGAACACATGGACACAGGGAGCAGAGCATCACACACTGAGGTCTGTTGCAGGGGTACTGGGGAGGGACAGAGGTGGGTAGGGAGTTGGGGAGGGATAACATGGGGAGAAATGCCAGATATAGGTGATGGGGATGGAGGCAGCAAACCACATTGCCATGTGTGTACCTATGCAACAATCCTGCATGTTCTTCACATGTACCCTAAGACCTAAAGTGCAACAAAAAATAAATATTAAAAAATAGTATCCATCCTAAAAAAAAAAAAAAGAGCAGCTGTCACCCATGCTATTTGCCACATGCTCACTCTCTGCCTCTCACGCTAAGCCACAAGAGGGAAAGATCATGTAGGGACCAACCATGCCAGCTAGTATGAGTCCTGGCCCTAGTAGAAGCTTAGTAGATATTTGTGAGTAAATAAATGAATACATAAAATTTCCATCACACTTAGCTTAATCAATCATTTCTGACTGGATCTTTTAAAAAAAATTTTTGGAAATAACCTATCCAGGCAGTACTACTATTGATTATCACAAAATAGCCAACAAATAGTAAACCATAACTCCAGCACTGCTATCCAGCAGTCAACAGAAAAGCAACAAACACCTGCTGAGCCAGCAAACTCCTCTAACAGACCCATACCTCAGGAACAGCGACTACACACAACGAAATCAGTAGCAGGAGTGTTCAGAAGAAACAGAATGTAGAGACCACCCAAATATCCGTCAAGGGACTACTGGATAAATAAACCTGGTCTTGCCATACAGTGGTGTACTCAGCATGGATGAACCTGGACAACACTGTGTTAAGAGAAGGAAGCCAGACACAAAAAGCCATCTCTAAAGCAGACTGGTGGTTGCCAGGGGCTGGGGAGAGGGAGAGTGGGGAGTGTCTGCTTAATGGGTATGGCGTTTCCTTTCGGGGTCATAAGAACATTCTCAAACTGGATAATGGTGGTCGTTTCGCACTACGCAGTGAATATACCGAATTCCACTGTCGTGTGTGTATTATTAAAATGGTTAAAAATGGTTTTATATGTATTTTACCACAATAAATTAAAAAGGGAGGAAGACAATTAAAAATCATGGAATGTATAATATTTTTTTAAAAATATCCAAAACTACCCTCCCAGTGAAGGAGGTGGCAAGGAGCAAAGTCAGTCAGCGGTTGCTTTTATCATAAGAAATGCATGATGCTGCAAACCCATAAACTTCTTCATAAATACTGGGTTTCCAGAGGTCTTGGGGCAGGAAGAAGAGGCAGAATTGCCTTGCACTTAAAGAATGTTCCAGACAAGAGGTATGGGGTGCCCAAGCTTCTGAAGAATTCTACAGAGGAAGGTTCCCAAATGCATGTTCCATACAGGTTCTGTGGTATCATGATTACTTTAAGAGGCACACAAATGAACGCTGTTTAAATTTACTACAATTCTTTTTGTTGAGAGTTATATTTGATTAATGGCCCAAACACCAGTTTTCATTTACAGTGATGATAAAATAGTCCTGTTCTTTACATACCTGTTTCTCATCCATTTAATCATTTGTATGCAATAAAGTGTACTCTTTATGGTATATCAAGTCATGTAACCATCACCAAAAAGATACAGGACAGTTCCCTTATTCACCCAAATTCTCACACCCTGAGCCTTTCTAGCCCCTGCTCTATGGTCTAGCAATAAAAGGAAAAAAAAAAGCAGGGAAAAACACTGCAACGTGTATGAATTTCAAATGCATTTGGCTAAGGTAAGGAATCCAGGTTCAGAGCTCTGAGGGACGAATGAGGAGTAGCTGCAAAGGGGCACAAGGCTTGTGCTTAGGCTGATGGAAACAACCCAAAATGAGATGCAATAGTCACACGACTCTGTAAATCTGCTAAAAATCAGTGAACTGTACTCCTAAAAATATACAATTTTTTTTTTTTTTTTTTTTGAGACAGAGTTTCGCTCTTGTGACCCAGGCTGGAGTGCAATGGCCCGATCTCGGCTCACCACAACCTCCTCCTCCTGGGTTCAGGCAATTCTCCTGCCTCAGCCTCCCGAGTAGCTGGGATTACAGGCATGCGCCACCATGCCCAGCTAATTTTTTGTATTTTTAGTAGAGACGGGGTTTCACCATGTTGACCAGGATGGTCTCCATCTCTTGACCTCGTGATCCACCCGTCTTGGCCTCCCAAAGTGCTGGGATTACAGGCGTGAGCTACCGCGCCTGGCCTAAAATATACAACTTTTATGCTATGTAAATTATAACTCCACAAAGACTTTATTTTTGTTTATTTAGAGACAGGGTTTCACTCTGTTGCCCTGTTCAGTGGAGCAATCTTAGCTCACTGCTGTCTCAAACTCCTGGGCTCACACCATCCTCCCACCTCAGCCTCCCAAGTAGCTGAAACTACAGGCATGCACCATGACACTCAGCTAAATTTTAAATTTCTTGTAGAGATGAGGTCTCAGTTTGTTGTCCAGGCCATACTCAAACTACTGGCTTCAAGTGATCTTCGTCCCTCGGCCTCCCAAAGTGCTGGGATTACAGGCATGAGCCACCATACCAGCCTCCATAATGACCAAAAAAAAAAAAAAAGATTCTCTTACATCAATTTTTTTTTTCCAGAAAAAAAGGGTATTTCATTGGGATGGAATTCTGGAAAGGCAAAACTGTAAAAACAGAAAATTGATCAATGTGCCCCTTTGCAAATAAATTAAATCAATGAAAAAATATACAGATTTAAATGAATGCTAAGAATGAGTGCATGGAGATGAGGCAGAAACTTCAGGAAGCTGGTAAGATGAGGATGAGCTCAGGGGCTGATCTGTTTGCCAGAGTCCCTGGATGGAGGGGGTGCGCCCCTGCTGCCATTCCCAGGCCTGGGGCACGTACCCTGGCGCAGCTTTGCCTCTCCCCCCACCCGCAGCGAACGCGTCCACTTACTGTGGCGGTGCCGGAGACGGTCTGGGCACTCGTGTCCGCCGGGCTCTGCTCGGAGTGCGACTGGGCGGGAGGGTACAGGTTTAACGTGTGCTCGGGAACCGGGGTCTGGCCTGTGTACTCTGGCGCAGGGTGGGGATGAGGGGCTGTGTATTCCGCGGGGATACCGTTTTGCGGGGGAGCGAACTGGGCCGAAGCGTAAGGCTGAGCCATTGTGTCAGGGGCAGCAGCTGCTTCCTGATTACCCTGAAAAATCAAAAAGGTGGAGAGAGGGAGAACATCATGAGTAGGCACCCTGCAGAAAGCTTCCTCCCAGATCCCAGGACGATTGCGCACTGCCCACTTTCTAGGGGTCACCATGACCTCACCAGCCTGAGATGGACCAGTCTCAGCTCATCTTCACCAGAACCTATAAGGAAACAGTAACCATCACTTCTCCCCATTTTAGAGATGCAGAAACCGAGTCTTGGAAAGATAAAGTCGCTTTTCCCAAGTCACTCGGCCTAATATTCAAAGACAACGAGGGTCTTGTGGCTTACTAGATTGGATTTTTTTCTTCTGTCAGATCCTTTTTATTTCATTCCCATTTTGGAAGCTGTGAACATTCAGTTGTCCACAGTGACAGCAGAACCTTGATTTGATACTCAAAGTGCCAAGAGAGATTAAATTGAACGTGTGTGTTCTTGAGAGGAGAGACAATTTATGTAAGCATTTGAATTTAATCAAAGTTTTATGTGACTTGGCTCACATAACGGGAAGAGGGAGGATCCTTTTAACGCTCCCAGTGTCTGTGTGCTTGTGTGTTTGTGAGTGTGCGTGTGTGTGTGTGTGTGTGTGTGTGTGTATAATGTCCCCAGTGCCAAAATGAAGCAGCTAATAAAAATTCAGGGCCTAATTTGGACAAAGATCGTCCTCTCTGACAACCACATTTTAAGCATTTCTGAAAAATATTGGATTTAACTCTTAGTCTCATTAGTCAATGCCTCTCCCTCCCTGCCTTATTTTTTTTTTATGAGCACAGAGTATTATATAACAATTCATTCTTCAGATCTAGGCAAAACATGCAGTGTGACAATTACAGCCAACTCAGAGGTTTAAAAAACACACACAACCAAAACCTTCCATTTCAGGAAACATCTCTCTCTACTGCCTCCTCCACAGTTCTACCACGACACACACACACACACACACACACACACACACACACGGCGTAAGAAATTGTAACCCAAAGGTCCAAATTTTCCATGGTCTCAGGAGATGAGATTACACAGTCAGAAAGACAGAGAGAGTGGAAAAAAACTTAGCAATTAAGCACACCAAATAGCTGCCTCTCCCATTGTCTGTGGTCAATTAGATGTGACTTTAGCCCTCATATAGTGATACTAGGGCAAAAATGTCAGAATTGCTCCTCTCTCTTCAGTACTCGCCACCAACATCTGAAATCCTCTTTCTCTAAAGCAATTTGAGTGCAGCAAAAACATGATGACAGAAAGAAGGAAGGGAAAAAAAAAAGTTCAATCTCAGAGAAGCACACAGACAGAACTGGTGCATTTGTTTAGAAGGGACCTTAATTAGTATGTTAAAAATGACACTTGGAAGAGAACGAAGCTTAGGGTAAGTTTAAACATTTTACAAGGAGAAACATTCCCATCAGGCTCTTCCCTCCTCTGGACAAATTTCTCCAAATGTCGGTGCCATTGGAAATAAAAGGGCACAAGCGTTTCTTTCTGTCTTTCTAACATGTTTCCGTAGCACTGGGGCCATGGAGGGTGTGCCTATGCTGAGGCTGAATTGCTATCCATGAGCAGTTAACCCTATCTATCCCTGGGAAGCCACAGACGACACGTGCTGATACTGCTGGTCTGTCTCCACTCCTGTTTCTTCAACAAGACCCCAGTCCCACTCTCAGCCTGTATGGTGTAGATACATTTGAACACAGCTCCCGATCACTGAGAGATGAACCAAAGGACACCAACCTGGCCAGTCAGAAGGTCCCACTGAGATAGTCCAGTGGATTTGGGTTCATGCCCATCTATCTAGTGAATCCATTGGTACGTTAAGCCCTAGTCACACCACTGAGTCCCAGTCACCCTGGAATTTTGCCATAGTTTCGGGGAAGAAGTTCTCTTTCCACTGTCATTGGCAGCTGCAAAAACAACATAAGCCTGAAGCTGCCAAGAACCGACACTTAGGTTGGGCATGTTGCCTCATGCTTGTGATTCCAGCAATTTGGGAGGCCAAGGTGGATGGATCACTTGAGGTCAAGAGTTCAAGACCAGCCTGGGCAACAAGGTGAAACCCCACCTCCACTAAAAATACAAAAATTAACCAGGCATGGTGGTGCATGCCTGTAATCCCAAGTACTTGGGAGACAGAAGCAGGAGAAAGGCTTGAACCTGGGAGGTGGAAGTTGCAGTGAGCTCACATTGCACCACCACACTCCAGCCTGGGCCACAAAGCAAGACTTCGTCTCAGAAAACAACAACAACAACAACAACAAACTGCCACTTGAAGAGGACCTGCCACTTGAAGTGACCACATTCCAGGTAATTAGCATATCCATCATTTCTACATGATTTCCATTTGTGTGTGTGGTGTGTGTGTTGAGATTTAATTTAAGATCTATCCTCTTAGCACATTTCCAGTATATAATACAGTATTTTTAACTCCTGTTCCCATGCTGTACTTAAATCTCCAGAATGTATCTGTCTTGCAAAACTGACACTTTGTACCCTTTGTCTCATTTTTTAAGCTAGTTTTTCTGTTACTTAAAACTGAAAGGGTCTTGACTAATTAAAAAAAAAAAAAAAACTTCTGCTGTTTTATAACTAAACTAGCATCTTTTCTTTTTCTGGGCTGTTCAAGGAACATATCCTTCTGTACAGAAATTCCTTAGTGATGCCACTTCTCCATGGGTGATGAAAAGCCCCAGAAATGTTGGGATCTTGGGAACCATCTGATGAGAAATTCATTGTGCCAGAGGCGGCTTCTGCTCAAAGATCTGTTTCTGCCTTCCCAATCTTCTACCTGGCCCATGTCTCCATTGAAACACAGACTTGTCTGAGCCCCTGCAGGGAAGAACAGAATAATCACAGGAGCAGTGGTCCAGACAATGATTAGATGAAGACAAAGGCTTCCCTCCTCCACCTCCAGCAGAAGATACTTTCGCCAGCAATATATATAACCGTGGAGATTTCCATCAGTGCAGAGCAACCTCAAGAAAGGTGGCCCATTCCCACTAGTTCCTGCAAAAGAGCTAAGGCTCCTTGTAGAATTGGAGCTCTCTCTGTATGGTGCAGAGAAGTGCCATGGCCTCCAGAAGCTTATGGTCAGTTAAGGGAGAAGAGCTTCATCATCCCAACTCCATGAAGTCTTCACATTCACTGCCCCTCAGCTTAGAAAGCCTCACCTACCCCCTTGCCCAGCTAGTTCTTACGCTTTCTTCAGTCTGCATTGAGTCCCTCCTCCAGCAGGCCTTCCTTGATGCTGAAACCTGGTCAGTGGCCCATCCCTTCAGCTCCACTATAGCTGGTGGCCACGGCTCACACAGCTCCGAGCACTGCCACTGTCTTTTTATTTGATTGTGAGCTTTCTGAAAACAGGACACCGTGCCACATTCCCTGTCTCCTATCCATGGTCCAACAGCATACTAGCTACAAAGTGGACATTTACAAGTGTTTTCCAAGTGAATATGTGCTTGACGAAATGAACTCTGGGCTCTGTAAAACATGGTCTGGCAGCAGGAAGGAGACAGGGTAGGGGGATGAAGAGAGGATCTGGCAAATGACTCATGGGGCAAACCTGGCCCCCATTTTGTTTTTGTAAATAAAGTTTTATTGAAACACAGCCATGCTCCTGTGTTGACTGTCTATAGTGGCTTTGGTACTGCAACGGCGGAACTGAATAGCTGTGGCAGAGACTGCCCAGCCCACCAAGCCCGAATAGTCTACTATTGGTTCTTTGTGGAAAAATATTTTCTAAAAGCTATGGCGGAATGTCATCAGGCATGGGATCACCAGTTAAGAAGCCATTACTGCATAAATAGTTTGGGCAGGAAATAAAGCAGTGAAATAAGAAGGGGGGGAGCTGTATTCTCTCTAAAGTAAAGAGGGGTGATAGCTAGTCTTGGAGGCTGGAAATACTGAGAATGGTACAAAACCAGCAAGTCAGAATCTTTTTGGGAATTTACTTTCCATCACCAGATCGCTGTCATGTAAACACACATGCACACAGGCTTTAAATCTGCAGAAGAGGGCTCATGAGCAGCAGGTTCATGATGGCCTCAGGCTTCAATAAAAGTAGCCACTTCTCCTCACTGGTCCTCAGAAGAAAACTTACTAGGTGCCAGGCATTGTGCTGGGTGCTTCTTACAAAGGTGTGACTGCTTTACACAGGACATTAGGCAATGACTGGAGACCATTTTGACTGTCAGAAATGAGGGAGGATGTGCTACTGCCATCTAGTGGATGGAGGCCAGGGATGCTGCTGAACATCCTGAAGTGTACAGCACTGCCCTGAACCACAAAGGACTGTCCCGCCCCAAATGTGAATAAGGCCAAGGTCCAGAATCCCTACTTCACATGCATTCCATGTCTAATCTCACTTTACTTTGTCATCAAAGAGGCTCCAGCCTAAAACTTGGAAATAGTGATGCAAGGTCACAGCCACAGGTAGTTATCAGGGGAGCCAACGGTTAAACCAAGGCCTTTATGTATCACGTGTTAAGGCATCTCTCATCTAGCAAGAGAATCACCTGGTGGGGAGTTCATTTCCCATGTTTAAATTAAGCAACTCCCTCTCTATCATGCACACCATGGAACTGTGTTTTAGCTGTTGGGGTGTTACTCCCTGTGAGGAAGCCAGGGGCTAGGGTATGTGATTCAAAGATGCCAGCAATTCCGATGGCCAGATTAGGTGGGTGACCCTTCAAAAGTAGTGGGGCAGCAGCCTGGGAAACTTCTACACAATCTCAAGCCTTATGCCTGACTTCAAAATGCTTTGAGGCTATCCCAGGAAAGAGAAGAGCCAGCTGGGGCACCACTGGCACCAATGCAAACCACCCACCTCTATCATGAGTTGTGCAATTCTGGCAAATACAGTGCACCATGCTCCAGGGAATGATTCCATGGTAGCCAGGGAGCCTGCAGTGAGCATCCAGGAACATGGGGCTCCGGATTTCATCCTGTACCTGGAGTTCTCAAACAGATGTTGGTAGGACCCCGTACAGTTACTTATTAACACTGACA